ATAAACTTATTAACATATATTGTATTTAGGTATACACTAAATGACTTAATTTCCTAGCATTCTCAGTGAAGAAACTGTAGAAAATCAAACGCTTGAATATCTAGTTTCGCAACTTCATCAATTTTTCAAACGAGAAGATAATTTTAAAGGTAAATGTTTAAACTTAATGTAATATTTTCACTGTTTAAGCGAATAAATGTAACAGTTATTTCATTATGACTATTTTTGTTGATAATATGTATACTTAATTGAAACAAACAAAATACGGACTAGGAGTAGACTGAAAAAAGTATATTTATGATTTTTAGATAGGTGCCTAACAATGATTTAGAAATTCAAAAAAAATTTGGTTGCTACTAAATAAAAAGTAAAAACTGTTTCATGAGTCCCTTAAAAACATATTTTTAATTAAAAAATAAAATACTATATTGAAAACATTAAAAATTTACATTTTTGTTTAAAACTTAACTGCATTCTTTAACTATTGACTATAATAATTTTTAATTTTTAATGAAAATTACCCAAGTTTAGCTTTGGCTTTTAATTTTCTTTCAAAATGCAATATAAAATGTTCGTAATTTATGTTATCCAGCTATCATATAGTTTGCAGTCTACCAGCAAACAAACATTTCCTATGTTCTATAGGATGCGGTCTACCTGCAGCCAACCGGTTTTTTCACTAACGCACACTCAGCGGATAGAAAGCTTATAGAGATCACTATGTATATAAGTAGTTAAAAATATGTGTGGTGGCAAGGAATAATTGATTCGGATTTATTTAATTTATTTTTGAAAGATGTGGCGGAAGTTTTTCTACTTTGAGCAATTTCTAAACAAATGAACATAAAACAACACAATATTCCATAATTTTGACACAATTAATAAACATAACAATTTATAACCAATGAGTATTTTTTAATTTTTTTGTAGAATGATAATATACTATTTGATATAATTTTTAATTCTTAATCTTATTTTATTTACTGCAGTAGACCGTATAATTTATTTGTAAATCGCTGTTGGACCATGTACTATACTCATAAATTACTGGTAGACCATATACTATATGACAGCCTGTTATCCTTGTATACTTTATGTTACTAATATGTTATAATATCTTACATTACCATCCTAGTTAATAATAAACATTAATTTACGTCTTATTCTTTTGATCTTATAGAATTATGTTTGTTCACATTTAAGCTACCTACTCCTTTTTACCATTAATACCATTTAAAAATTCATATTTAACCTCCTTAAAGTCTATGTTTTATTATTAATTTAATTTTAATTAATCTTTATTATATATTTATCTATACTTATTAAGTGTGTATAATATTCATTTTAGTTGGCTGTACTTTACTTATGCTGATTCAACATTCTGATTTCTTACTCAACCAAACACAAAAATTTGCTGCTATAATATTATGTTATGAACTATACCGAAATGAACCGATTGCAACTAATCCTTTAGCACCTATTTTTATGCATCTCTTGGTATGATATTATTTTAAATACCATTGTGCTTATGGTAAATATTAATATTCACTACGTTTTATTTATAGCATAAAAAAGTTGGAAAAAATGAATATGTTGGTGATTTGCCGGTTTTAACTATGCCTGTAAAAATATTTCTTTCCAATTTAATTATGTCTCAAAATTCTAAAGAGTTATTACGAAAATCTGCTAAACAAGTATTAACAGCACGCAGTGATCCCAGTAAACCTGTAGTTAATACAGCAACAATTCTTAATACAATAAAAGATCGTCGAAAAAATCTTCCACGGACCGCAAAAAGCTCTCTTCCAGTTATCATACCTGATCCCCAAAAAACTGAGTATGATATTAAATGATAAAACAGTTATAGTTTTTATATTATATTTGTATTTTATAGATCAAAAGAAGGAGCAAAACAAGTTTTAGAACTGTTGATTAGTGGACCAAAATCATATGTTTCACATAATTTTAAGCCAGAAATGATGCGACTTGCACCACCGCTGTTTGTGTGCGATGAAGAAGTAAGAATTGAATAATAAATCATTTTTGTTATTACTATAATTGAATATCTTCATAGATGATTTGGATGAACATGAGTAGTCGATCAAATCATCAAATTATGTATGATAAAACAATGTGTGTATCTACCAGTGCTGCTACCGAAGCACGAGAACTTATGACTAAAGCTCTCAAAACACCATTAACCTTACAACAACAACAGCATCTTTTAGCTGAACTCGGAAATGATCCAAAACTAGTTTATCATATAGGTCTTACACCTTGTAAAGTAAGCCAGGTTACATACAATTTATTGATGGTTATAATTAACAAAAATACTGTAATTTTGTATTTTAATTTTTAAGTTGCCAGATTTAGTTGAAAATAATCCTTTGATAGCTATTGAAGTATTACTAAAACTGATGCAGTCACATTCCATAACTGATTACTTTTCGGTCTTAGTCAATATGGAAATGTCTTTGCACTCAATGGAAGTAGTTAATCGGTACGTCATTGTTATCATTAATCATTATTCATTTTTAACTAAATTTAATGTATTATTTAATAGATTAACTACTACAGTAGAACTTCCGACTGAATTTGTACATCTATACATATCAAATTGTATTGTAGCATGTGAAACTATAAAGGATCAATATATGCAAAATCGATTAGTTCGTTTAGTGTGTGTTTTCCTACAATCTCTCATTAGAAATAAAATAATAAATGTGCAGGTAACAATTTTTTTTATGAATAAATATTTTTTTAACTGCCAACTATATTTTATTTATTCTGAAGATTGTTATACAACTTTAAGTGAATCAATACAATTTAAGAATACATTTTTTAATAGTTTACAACCTTTACAAATTACTTTTTTTCTTATAGGAATTATTTATAGAAGTTCAAGCCTTTTGTATTGATTTTATTCAAATTCGAGAAGCATCAGCTCTGTTTCGTCTTTTAAAACAACTAGAAACAGGAGATACTTGCAGTATTGGTAATATAGCTGCTGCCGCTGGTATTACACCTAGCACAATTGCTGCTGCTAAAGATAAGGATAAAGACAAAATAGTGCCAAAAGAAAAATAGTATTAATTAGGTATTTAATTGAATTAAAATGACATCTAATAAAAATTTACTATTAATTTTTACTTTTATGATAAGTGAGACTGTAAAGTGGAAATAAAAGTGTAATAATTTATTAATGTTTTATATTTATACTTTTCCTAGTTCGTAATGGTTACATTTTTTTAATATATATATATATCAAAATAATAAAACTATAAATTGTACATTTAAACATTGTATAGTTATATTATGTTATATTTTGTATTTTATGAATGAAAAACACTATAAAAATTAATTGAAACTTTTTCACTTATTAAATATTTCAAATTTATATCAGTTTAATCCATAATCATAAGCGCAACTAGGGCAACTAAACCCTACCAAAATAAATTATTCAATTGTTGTTTAAAATATTAATAAGCCTTTTATAATTCAACTGTAATTTTTCTTTTTTTGGAAAAATATTAAATTATTTTATTTTTATTTAAAGTTAATAAGTATATTTTAATGTCTGGTAAGTATGGTAAATGTCAAGTTGTATGCCTGTATTTGTTTATAAGGAAACAATCTATGTCGGTACGTTGGTACAATTACTATACATAATTGTACAGTATATGCGTAGACCTACACTACTAGACAAGTTATGAGTGTATGAAAAGCGGTGTAACAATATAGAGGGCTCTTTTTGATTATTCCTACATACTGCAGTGTGGGGTGGTAGAATAAGATATATAGATTATACATTATATTAGTTTGTCGTCTAGACAGGCTACCTCACTATGTGATATTACGCTGCTCTAAATGCTGTTGTTTTTTTTTTGTACGCAGTTCATGTCTAGTAGTATAAGATCTATGACTATATCATGCATTAAACTAAAATATACGGACAGTACATTATTATTATAGTAGTATTGTGTATTTCAGTAAATAAATATTTGATTTTTTTTTTTTTGTATAATTTTCACGTGAATATGTTTTGGGGGCATTGCTCCATTTGTTACATTTTATGTAATATCAAAGGGGGCAACATACCACGACCAACATTTTTGCCCTAGTTGCGCTACTGCCTATAGAATAAATTAATATTTTATTGGTCAAAACTAAAAACAGTAACAAATTCCAATACTTTAATTTAAAAATTCCTTGTAGTAGGCAATTTGTTTCATATTTAAATGTATAAATTATAAATACAACATTTTAATAGTAATGTACATTTTATTGCACTAAGACATTAGACATTTCAGTGGCCGCATATATTTTCCTAACCAACAATACCCAACTATTGTATGTAATAATGTATTCATATTGTAGATTAAAGAAAGTTATCTTTAATAAATCAAAGAAAGTAGTTTTCATTATTGTACCGCTTCATAATTATGTAAAATTGTAAGACAAATCTGTCAAGATTACTAAAATTAACAATAATAGTAAATAATATAATTTATACACTATTGATCTAAGTTGAATCATTATAATTTATTAGCTTATAGTGTTCATTAGTAGTAGTAATGAAAATCAATTTTACATCATGCAATAAAAAAAGATAATGATTTTAAAAATAGAAAAAATATTTTTTTTAACTTCTCTAGATTTGTTTAACATAGGTATATACATTATTTAATAATAACACATTTTATTAAAGTTAGTTTGTTTTATATTTTATGTGTATCCATATATTTTTTTGTTATGCATGTGTAAACTGTAGGTACAGAAAGACTTAAAATACATTTAAAATGAGTATATCTTTAAATGAAATAAATACATTGTATGTTTAGAGATAATTTAATAGGAATATGATATTTTTACTAGGAAAATGTATTTCATTTCCTTAGAACCGTACACTAAAAATGTACAAAACGTGTTCATTCACTAGTAAAAAAAAACTGTTTATTAGGTAGGCACACTTTTTTGAATCATTTTAATTGTCTGCTTGTCATTTATTTTTCATAATTGTATGTATCATAGTGTGTGTTAATAATAACTCATTAGCTTTTAAGTTTTAAGATTGTTTTAATCTTAAATCTAAAAAAATGTCTGATATTAATGTAATGTAGCGAAACGAAATTTTTAAATAATTACATTATTCTTGATAGTTAGCTGTTGAAACAATATTAAATATTTACTGCACACTGCTAATAGAGTTTACAAAGCTCTCGGCAAATTCTCTAGATGGTAAACACTGTCCAAAAGCTTCAAGCAATAACGATTGTTTGTTGACAGACGTAGAAAAATCTTCAAAAGAAAGTTTTGTATCGTTGTCACAATCCATTTTACGCAATACGATGTCGACGAGTTCTCGTACTCCTTCGTCTGGATCCTCGTCCTGGGGATGTTTGACCAAACAGTTCCTGAAACGTGAAATCCCGTATACCTATATTAACTACTTGACTTAGTACACTTGTCTAACATTATTTCATCAATGTTGAATGTAAAGGTAAGTAAGTATAGGTAAGTTAGGTAACGTATTAAAACTATAATTTAATATATATTATAGTTATATAACTATAACTATAATATGCAGCAGTTCTATTAAACCTTAGCAGACTGAAAATCTCTTCTTTCGTTATGAATCCATCGTTGTTTAGGTCGTATATGGTGAACGTGTATTTGATCTTTTCATCCTGAGTGCCTTTTAGCAACACCGACAACCCAGTTATCCATTCGTCTTCGTGTATGACGCCGTCATTTCGTTGATCGAAAAAACAAAATATACGATCCGTCAAAATCTCCTCGGTTGTGATTCCGAATTCGTTTTGCAGGAATTCTCTGAACATTAACCGGTCAAAACCCTATGAAAACAAAAAGCAAAAAAAATTTTAAATATTTAAAAATATTTCGCGTGACAAATAACCTGCGTAGGAATCGTTATTAAAACAACCGAGCTCATTGCCGCTACCGAAGACGTTGATTCGGCACCATAAATGGCGACTAGTTTTTTAAATAGTTTGCATAATCCAACGATTTCTTTCCTGAAATATTATAGATAATCGTACAAAAATTAAAACGTCTCAGTGTACTAGTGTAGGTAGGTACCTACTATTATATTTTACAGTCTTGAAGTAGGTAAAAAAAAATTTTCAATGTAAGTGAGTGTAAGGATTAGTTTATTTAATTTAGACAATAAGTAAACTGGTAATTATTTATACCTATGTTTAAACATGGCTATAGGGCCGTATACCTAATATTGTACTTTACGAATTTCAGTAATGTACTCACTTCGTAAATCTTGTCTGCTTGAATAAATTTTCCACAAAGTTTGGAGGAATGATGGGTTTTACTTTTGACATTAACTTGGTTGAACGAAGTTGCTCAGATGATTGTTTGCGTTTTGAAGTTACCGTTTTTGCTGGTGGCCATTGTTTAGACCCTCTCGGAACTTTAGTCCCTGCAGATTTCCTACAGTTAAAGTTTTAATTATTAGTTAGGTGGTATTCTATTTTACATAAAAATGAAAAAATAATTTATATCCAGCAAATTAAATCATAATTTTTAAAAGATATATTTGTGTTATTCAATCAATCATTATGATTATCCATAAATTGGGAAAAATTATATTTAACAGTTCATAATTAGTATTTTAAATATTTAAGCATAGGACAACGCATCCACGAAGAACGCACCATGCATGTTGTTGACTAAGCCGCTAGATAGCACTGCCTTTAACGTATTTTCTTCTTCTTGGGTAAAAAATATAGATATGAGGTCATTTTTATCTTTGACATACTCGAGACTTGTTGAATCATTCGCATTATAGTATTATACCTAGTGTGGTCTTTTTTTAAACAATATATATTACACATCTTATGACTCACCTATTGGGTATTATATTAACACAATCAACCTAATCATTAAAATTTAAAATATACACTTATCTGTATATACTGGGAGTACCTACCTATTCAAAAAAAAAACTAAAAAGAACACATGTACCATGTGTTATAATCTAAGCATTATTGTGACAATTGTTTTCTAATGTATTATATAGTATATACTATAATGTCTATAACCGATGGGTGAAAAATCTTACATTATCAGCATTTGACAATTATGTTTTTATCAATAATAGGCGAGTAGAAAATCAATTAATATGAAAGGTACACCCATTTACAAATACACTTGTACATATGGCAATATTTGTTTTACTAGTTTTTTTTTGAAAAGTTTGACTACGGGACTTAGACACTCTGTTAGTATATTAAAACATGGACTCAATTAGTATTATACCTAAAATTTCAAGCGACTCAATTCGTCCCAAAAGGTTTTGTTGGGACTTAGTTCGCAGTCCCCAACCATAAATTTTCGAGTTACTGAGGGACGTCGGACGTCCTCCAGATAAAATATCCTCTCTTCCTGGAATAAATTTATAATTTTGAGTCAATATACTCTAATGTTAAGTGAAATAGAATATTCTGCATAATATGTATAGTGTATATGTATAAAATACCTACATAATTGCTACGCTGCAATAAATTGTTCATTTTTTGGTACTTGTGGTTATCTGACCGCTATCAGTGACCGTCCAGGGTTTTATGTTATTTTTTATACACCGTTTTAAGACTAAAATATTTGATTTTTTTACTGAACTTTGTTCCGTTGGATTATTTGGTAGAATATCGCTTGTGGTAATGGATACCTAGCCTTCTATCCATCGGTCATTTCAACACCAGGCACCAACATTGGAATTTTTAAGTGTTGTATTTTCATGAATATTTTATTATGTGGTATATTAATAATCTAAGCTTTCCCAAGTAGTAGTGAATAGTAATAAACTAATAGCTGTCAACTGAAAAGGAAATCAAGCCATTTGTGTACTAATATTTCATACTATTTGAAACTAACTAGTTTGGCTATGTTAAAATATTAAATATATAATATAACCACATTACCATAGACCATAATAGGTAGATGATAAACGTAGAGATATTGTAGCTGAAGTCCAAGCAATCATAGATCCGTTTGCAACGTTGAAAAAAAATATCTATAGCCATAGGTAGTAACTACTATATACCTACCTATTATTACTAAAAATATTAATTCCTTCTATATTTTTTTTGCTTTTTAGATTGCCATAACTTATAAGCACTGATACTAGAAGTATCACTATAGCTTTTCTGCCTTTTAGACTTCATAGGTTATAAGACAATAAGATAAAATTTTTAAAATTTAAATGTGTCATTGGAAAAATAGCTATTGAGTATTTACTTTGTGCAGATAATCATTTAAATGTGCCACTGACCACTGAATGATGAAATGAACTATAAACTCCCTATATTTTATTAATAGCTTTTAATTAAAAATTAAATCATCCTTAGGTATTTTGATTCTATAGAGTATAGACTATAATAATCAATAAATGGTGTTAAATCACTTTTACTTTCATTGAGTAAACAGGAAATAATTTTACAATCATAGAAAATATAGGATACTGTAGTGATCTAGGTAAGTATAATATGCTACAAATCTACAATAGATACTATTAAACTATTATACTATAATAGTACTATTATTAATTATTATATATTATCATAGTGTACTGTAAACTGTAAAGTTTATGTTGACGTAATATTAGGTAAAATATTACCTAATTAATGCATAAAATTGTATTAGCTATTGTTATTATTTAAACATCTTCCACAAACTTACCTGATAATCTGATACGGCGGACGACTTACTATTCACTAGCTGTATGTGTATAATATACCTATTACCTACTGTATAGTGACAATACGAATTATTTTTGAAACGAATTGCACTACAATACAACACATGAGACTGAACACCATTACACCAATAATATACTTTAATATTGCACTTACGATTTAGTACATCAAAAAAACTGTCACCAACATTATTCAATTCATTTTTGTTATTTACTAAAAACACGCTATTTTTGGCATCTATGCCGTAAATATTGTAAAAATATATGTATAAATTACACATCACGCAATATAAAAAAGTCAACTTTCGTTTACTAAATATATTTTTTTTTCTATGCCTTCTATACACGTATATGGGTATAATAATATATACAACTACACGTAATACTTACAAGTTTGACTTTTTTGTCATTGCCTTTTGAGTTACTACGTCCATTTTCAGTACGCGTAAGCAAACCAGTAAACCACATAGGTATTATATTATGTAAGGAGGTACTATAATATTATTACGAACACATTATTGATCAAACATTCTTTGTTCACACTATCACACACACATTAAATACTACATATACATATTACAAATTATTCATGTATATTTATTATTAAATAGATTACTGTATTTATTAAAAATATTAATATCGTTAATGTTATTTTTGCCACCTGAGTTCAGAATTATAATGTAATACCCAACTATCAAATATAAGCTGTAATAATATGTTATTTTACATTAAATTTCAATATTATCATTGCTAGATTATTGTAACAATTATTAATTAGGTAAACTGCATTACCTATTTCCTAGTATAATACATATGTATATGTCTTGATAGCCTATTTGTTTATATTGGATAGTTATTTGTATAACCTAGACACCTCACACCTATATTTTAATTTATGTATAGTGCCTAATATGATATATTATATTTTTTGTGATATTCCCCTTAAAAAACAGTAGATACGCCACTAGTCTACAAAATAGTTTTATTTCATAAAAACTGTATCGTGTTCCTATAATATATGATAAATCTAACAAATAACAATAAATATAGGTACACAAAAACACGTTATACTACAAGTTGAATATATTCAACTAAAATAAGACTAACTAAATATATTAAAGTTGTATTGGCTGGTACTCAGGTATACTATAAGTTCTGTTATCAAATAAAATGATTATTTATTATTGCTATCATATTCTTATAGAATCCTTTTTGTTTTGGATAGTTGTAAATAATAAATAATATTATTTAAAGTTTTTGTGGTTAAAATAAATAAAATATTGACAAAATATGTTCCTATGTATTTTGTTTTCAAATATTTCAATATTATAATATGAAACAAAAACAAATCAATAATTTTATTGCAGAAGCTGTGTTAGTTTATAATATGATATTTATAATGATAAGAAGATAGATAATCGATAATGTTATTTTCAATAATAATGTGTGTAGTTATGTCTTTCGATCACATTAAAAAAAAAAAAAACTATATTGAATATAGAACTGCGTAATATGTGCGATGAGGGTCTGCCTACACGGTTTAGTTATACAGAATAGAAGAAATTTCATCAATTCTGTGGTTTAGTGTTTACCCCGGTGTTTACTTAATATATAAATATAATACGTGCCTGCTGCCCTACCAGCATTTATTAATGAAACTTAATGAATCGTATAGCTTATGTTATAGGGGTTTATTTGTTAAGATAAATCAATTTAGACCCTCTCATGTGTTATGTATACAAATAATCTAGGTTTTGAAATTGTATTTCGGTTAATTTAATTTCTTTATTATATTAATAAACTGACTAGTTATAAACTCATAAAAGTATACTATGAGAGTCAAATGATTGGTCAAAAATCATAATTTTAAAAATGGGTGATGTAATACAATATTTAGGACTTGCCTAGTTACAGTATATAATTAGGGTGTTATATACTAAATATACCCCGATCTCTGTATTATTATTATATCTGAAAGAGCAGCAATGGTTTTTTCTATTCTTATATTTTATAAAAAATATATTATTTTACTAAACGAAATTCCTTTCAAATAAATTGAATACTTGAAATCTAAAAATCAGTGTCAGATGTTAAACAACTTGACAGATATACAATATAATATACACAATGCTATAACTTAAAAAAGTGTAATAAGGATCAATACCCTTATACATATAATAATAATGGTTACAGAAAAGAAAAGAAACTATGGGTAGGTACTTGATAATGCATCCTTAAAAAAATCTCGTGAATGGACTGTTTTGGGATTATCTTTCAGGGAACGTTTTCGTTTTTTACAAGATCAACATTCCGGGAATTCATCGAATCGAAAAATACATAAGTACACGCCTTTTTTATAAGACGTATAATATACAACTCACAAGACCAAAGCATTTAGCTCTTGGCATCTGTGTGATGTGTGTTATAAATTATTATTTTTCATTATTTTTTTATCTATTTTAATTTTTTAAATTTATTTTTTATATCTATCAAATTGCATTTTATTATTTATATTTACATCACAATAGCGTCCTTCTCAGTAAAGGTCGGAAGAGGCTTAGAGAAACAACCATATAATATATTTTAAATCTATACATTATTGCTTTTATTGCTATTTGTATATAAATTATAAAATTATAGATATCAGTGATGTCACTTTTTTGCCATTACTTATTATACAGTGTAATAGAAAGACCTGACAAATGAAATAATTTTTATTCTAAATAACATTTTTTTTTATAACATATAATATGTTATGGTAAATGACTTATAACAAGAAAATTAAGTATTTAGCCGGCGATTGTCGTAAACATACATAAAAAATGGAGATTTCTGATATTTACCGGTTAATTGCGGTGTGCAAACAAATTGGTAAATGTTGTGTATAATACTGATATTCGACTATTATCTACGTTTTCCCGAGGCACATTTTTACCTTATAGGTATAGGTTTTAAATAACTAAAAATATGTTTTCACGTAAGACATCCATTACCTCAAGAGTAAAGGTACAATCAAGTCCCGGTTGTAAGTTTTATCTTATCATCAGAAAAATTTAAATGATTAATTGTATAAATGAAATATAAGAATTGTACAAGTCTGTGTAGTAGACAATATTGTTGTCATTTGGAGCTCGTGTGTTGCAAGCGTGTTGTATTTTTCCTATTATTTATTAAGAAGACGCCTACCCGCATGTGTTGTCTCCGTCTTATAAACGTGCAACATGGCAAAAACTGTTATGAGCGAAATAGAACCACTCAAGCTGTTTAGTTCAAGCCAAGTAACCAAATTTGCACACTATAAACAAGAGAACATTTGCTGTGAAATATCGATATCACAAATACAAGAAAATTTCTTATTGTTAAAAATTCATTATTTCAAACTTGAAAAACTTTTTTTGTAATTGTGATATAGAAAAAATAAAAACGATGTTGCACAGTAAATTTTCTCCTCTTAATAGTATGACAATTTGGTTGCTTAGGTTGGACTACAGGTTGAGTGGTTCTATTTCGCGCAAAACAGTCTTGCCATGTTGTACGCGTTTGTAAGACAGTGACAACACATGCTTGTGTTTTATTTAAAAAAACAGTTAAAATCGAATATTTAATATTTATGTCATTATTTAAATATGAATGAAAATGGTATGAAGAAAAAATCTGATAATAGGTATTATAATATGATATATCTTCTAGAATTATACAAAAACGTGATGACATGGGTATGTGGAAAATATTTCAAGTCTAATTGATGGATACAGTGAAAATGATACTATAGATAAAAAACTTTCTAACTTTTTGTATAATTGTTATCAATAAATAAAATTAAAACATTTAAAATGTTTTAGTTAACAAGCTTCAAAACAAAATAATGAACGAACGAAAAAATCAGTCACATGTTTATGAAAACAAAAAAAAAATTGAATTTGAATTTTTGGTAATTTACCGTAACGTATATAAAACTTATTGACTCTTGAGCAGTTGAGCTACACATATAACATATTATTTTTTAATATTAAAAAAGATTAAGATATAATTAACATTCTTTTTTAAAAATTCAAAAAAACCAATTTGTAAATCTGGTTTTTAGAAATTGTTGGCTGTAAAAATATTTATCTAAATCAAATGGTTAATTTTTTATGAATTTTTAAAATATCAAAATTATATTTATGTTTTAACTAGTACCTATTTAAATATTAATCGAGCAGATAGAGTAAGCACCTAGTGGGGTTCTACACATTAATATACTGCTTGCAATGCTCGCATGATCACAAGCGATTTTCATGTATAGAGTTGATATTTTGAAAGGGTGACGAAATGAACAGGATCAGCTAGTTATATATTTAAAAATAAATAAAAAATATTGATTAAAACAAAAGTTATTTCATTTGTCAAGTCTTTATGTTACACTAGTTTATAGATATACACAAATAGATAATAATAATAAAACGCATTTTATCTATACATTAAAACGGTTCGTTGGTTTGACGGTCTCAGTAGTCAATAGACAATAATAGTCGTATAAAAGAAATGTTTCTTTTTTGACACGAATGGTTCATTTGTTTTTAAATAAATTGAACGCAATGTATTATTTATGAATACTTGGCAATAACGCATAAACATTAACACAGACGACAATCGTTGTGAATTGTGTTTCGTTCGGCCAACATTATGTGAGTCGCAGGCCCCACACAAAGCAGAATAAACTTATACCTACCTACTATCTATGTTGTAGCAACTACTTATTATTATTATCCACAACAGCCTATACATAATAAAATAATAATAAAAAAAAAACTTACAGTCATCGAAAAATGTTTATCAGTCGACGCAGGATGAGTAAACAGTAAACAATAAAAACAAATTTATAGCGTGCGGCCGCCATATTATACGATAACTATATTATATTAATTATTAAATGTAGGTACTAATAATGGAAAACGCTTTTAAAATATAAATACATAACTTATGATTATTAATTATTATAATATTACCTATATTAAATCATTATACGAGTAACGATGACACAAACTAAAACGTTAGATCTGCAGTCGTGAATCACATGAGTAAATGAGTTTGGTGATTTGTTACAAAGTAAATCGTAATTCGTAGTCTGTCATCGTCGTGACAATCAATCGTCAAAAACCCATTTCCGATTACTCGTAGTCTGAAAAAATTGTAAAGTAGACGTATTCAATGTAGTCAAATACTCAAATGATATTTTTAAACAGTGTTTATAATGATATCGATATGACTCCTATAAGTGGCGGCGCGAACAATTTATATTCATGGGACAGACGACATCTTTCAATCTCCCTACGACCCTACCCCTTAAATATTCTGTATAGTTCCACCCAAAAGTCATTCAGTGACAACTGACAATATTACCCACTGCCAAGTAAAGCAGTAGTACCCATACACCAACCAATTTTGTTGTCTGGAATATTTATCCCGAAAAGTCTTGAGTCGTGCCGCCACTGCTTGGAAGTTAGGACAACGGACTACGAGGATCTTACCAAAATATTGCTGGCAGTAGCCAAATGCGAGGGCTTATATAGGGGAGACCGAGGCAACAGTACCACTTATCATGAATTTTTTTAAGCTCATAATTCTATTATTTGTAAATATTGAACAATGTACTTATTTCTTTCTTTAACTATGTAAGCTATTAAATAGTGCTAAATTATTATCTTCTAAATAAATGATTTAATGACTAACTGAATTTAGTGCAAAAAAAAAAAAAAATGAAAAAAAAGAAGTAATGGAATATCAATTATATAATTTATATGCTGTGCAAATAGGTATTATGGCTGGTGTTGTGAATTATTTGATGTCAGCATGCCAACTTGCCCCGGTCTTCCATATGAATTATCGTATATTTTTTAATAAAATATACTATAGAGAATTAATATTTATATAGAGAGATGTGTTTAAAATACTTTATTTTGTATATAAAACGCGAATACACCTACATTTATAGTTTGGACTTCAGACAGTTGGAAGTCATATTAATTTCATATTTTCATATAAATAATATTAAAAAAAACTATTATATACACATTTTTTCGGATGTGTATTATTATTTATTTTAAAGCAATAGCCAAGTATAGGTAATGACTGATGTGTAAAATACGAAAATATAAATACTATAAATCTAAATTTATTTTATTTTAGTCTTCTATTTAGAGTTTGCACCTATTCTTATTTCAATTTTTAATTAAATAAGTTATTATTAAAATGTAAATGTACGTGCAGATGAAATGCTATAATTGCCTTAGTTGTCAAAGCAGACATTTGTCATTTCAAGATCTATAAAAAAATAATATAATATTATAAATGTTTAGAAGAGGAAAACTGAGGTCTTCATTATGTCTTGTACTCTTATCAGCAGGGCTAAGATTTATATGCAATATAAAATGATTAAATATGCATTTGGTTTATTAAAAATATGCAAAAATATGCTTAAATAAACCAAATATATATTATTTAAAAAACACATTTTCTATAAATTTTTTTAAATACCAATTAATAAAAATAAATATGTTTAACACTTAAAATATAAAAACAAAAAATTCTAAAATATTAATTGATATAAAATTGCTAAAAAATGATAAAAAATTGTATTATGCAATTTCCATAAATGGATAAGTTAAAAATGCACGACATAAATCGAGCGAAAATTCTGAGTTCTGATCTTCAAATGAGTCTTTAATAAATATTTGTTTCATTTTTTCCTTTCATGTTGAATTACTGAGGTATTTTGCTGTACTTAAATGCTCAGTAACTCGAAAGCGCTTATTTGATGATACTACCTGGTCACAAATATTACAAAATAGTGTTTTATCATAGGTTTTAAAAACTGTACTAGAAAACTCTTTGACATACTGTTGAAGTTTTGCACTGGTACTTTATATTTTCGGCATTTTATAATTGAATGTATAGGTAAGTACGTAACGAAACCAATACAATTCGCAAACAACACGGCAACGTATCACCACAGATTATATTAATTATATTAATATAATATAATAAAATAATACAATTTAATAGTTTAAATTAATTTTTAATTTAATTTTTTTATTTTAAGTTTAATATAATTTGTGGTATCATTACACACGATATTCGACGATGACTGTCAAAATACAAACTAACTTTTAGCTGTATGCTTTTATCCAGTAAGCGTATGAGTATGTGACAGCAAGATAAGATAAAATTACACTTGGGTATTTTTGTACTGCGATGAAATGAATTGTAATGAAATATACTATAAAGCATGCACTTGTTCTGTTGTTGTAGTGGAAATGTATAAAAATATTCATTTCGTTCAAAATATGCAAAAATGTGACAAATATAAATACCACCATTTACCTCGGCAAGAGCTAATTCGTGGACATTACTAACAAAATATGTAATCAGAAATTGCAAAAAAAACATACCAATGAATATAAATCTTAACCCTACTTATCAGTTATACAGGCAATGCTTGACATGAGGGAGAGGAAACTATTTTTTTTAGAAATATTAACGCAGATACCCTTACTACTTTTAAGTGGAATGCATTAAACATATAGCATGTTATGTAATAAAAAGACTTAAGAGGGATATTGGTGGCGTGGGAGGCTTAGCACCTCAAGGTTCAACAACGTATAAAAAGTGATATAGAATTGGGTGATCAGCAATTGAGTCCCATTTTAACTACCTGTTTCATATACAAAATATTTTTTATATTTTATCATCTGTGTATGGCCGTGGCTCGCAACTAAAATGTGTGTTTAAAGGGTACAACGGCATTTGAGCCATACAAATATAAAATATGTATTTATAACTTTATAACTTAAATTAATTCAATATATATAAGCTAGAGACTAGAGTTCTCAGTTATCAGACTCAAGGCCGTAACTGGTGGGGGGTCCAGGGGTCCGGACCCCTCCCGAAATTTTTAAAAGTAGAAACATTTTAGGTTAGGTTAAAGGAATATTGTTTAACTATACTAAAACTATACCTAGAAAAAATGTTAGATCCCCCCCCGAAATTTTTGTCCAGTTACGGCCTTGATCAGACTAGCGAACTTCTTATTCCAAATAATCCAAATATTGCTTCCATCAGTAGATGAATCACAGGAGACTATCCAACAATCTGAGTCATCTAAGTCAACTTCAAATACATACTTACCTACCAGTTACCGAATACCAAACATAATATATCCACACCAGAACGTGCTTCAAATTTCCCAATCAATAGCCGAAAATCGAAATACTATAGGACATAGGTACACAATAATTAACGTCAGTAAACCTCTAACATCATGAATTCCATCACTGCCACAGTGCCGCCAAACTAATTTTCAAAATCTGTAAAACCTAACGAAAAGTAAATTGTATTTACTTATAGCAAAATTGTAATTGTAAATGGAAATTCATACGTTTATTTACGACCACCTAAGTTCGAAGTTGCTTAACATCAATAAAACAAATTCAATTTAATATTAATCATATTATTCATTTTTCATTAGGTATTCATTGAGTTCCAATAAAATCACAAAATTACAAAATAAAATAATATATATACAATTATACAAAGTCATGCAATTATAAATTCAATTATATTTAATAATTAATAATTAAATCAATATACTATTGCCAAAACAACTTTTTTTTTAATAAAGAAATACAGATTGTACAAAATCAAACGTCGTCATTTTTCTTGATTTCATTTAGAACATAATTCTGTCTGAGTAAAGTCTGTTTCCTGGCATTCTGTATAAGTACCTATATGCTTCTAATTTGAATGTAAATATTTTATTGTACATACCTTTTTTATACTTGCGATAAAACATTTAAAAACTATGAATATTTGAATGTGACAGAAGTTATTTTTGAAATGTGAATGAAATTAATTTGTTGTTAATGTTATAATTTCAGACTAAAAAGCATTCAAGCCTATATTATTATTATTATTATTATATTATATTAAAGCCTATATTTTATGTGTGCCGTGTGCAGAGTGCATCGTTATAAAAAATTATTAAGAAGTAGCCCATTCCCCGGATGCACATTTTACATAAATGTACATTTTTCTAAAAGTGTACTGTTTTTTTTGTACAAATCGAACCAATATTGTGAATTTAACTATCATATTATTCTGGAAAAAAAGTTTTACGAGAATATATTGAAAATATAGTTGTTAGCATTAAAAAAAACAAATTTAATTTCGCTATTGGTATAACTGCGTGCTTAAAAGTTTTGAAATATTGTAATAAACGAATTGCCAGTTAAAAATAAAGAAAAATCATTTTTTAGTTTTTCCATATTATTGAATATCGAGTCCCATAATCATTAAAAAAAACCACTCGTGTAACGACATAAGATACACCCTGTGTACTTTATAAAATAGGTAAGTGTATCAAACAATGTGGACATTATTTGATGCATGTAGAAATATAGTTGGCTATAATTACATTGCATCGTGGTTTTCGACGATTTTTCAGTAAATTTTTATCTTAATACTTTATTTTAACAGTACCTACCTATAGCTATTCAAGATAAAACTATATTATGTAAAAATGACTCTAAAATATGTTAAAAATAAATATTTAGGTATATTTATACATCTTGAAATATGCAAAATTAAATTAAAATCATAATCTTACACCGTTTTCTGAAGTGATGCAAATACACAATTAAAGCTCACTAGTAAACATGTTTTCCAATAGGTCCACACAGGACCGACACAGTTTTATATTGCACTATTGCAGTATGCAAATGCCACGAATTTCGATAATTTTCACAAGCGTTTCCTAGGTATATCATTTCTATTTTCTTATTACTAAAGTATCGCTATTTCATCCTTAAATAAAACAATTAAGATTCATTATAAATTCAAAAAATGTTTACCCATTCCAACAAAATAAAGAAACGGCATTACTGGAGTTTCAAAATATTGTGAATAGCATTTTCCTGGCAGATCGAACAGTTTTGCTTGAGATTTTCCAATCATTAGACCACGCAGGGCCTGTATGGCTGCATAAGCTCAAAATAGATATAAACTATAAAAGTAGGACAAGTAGGTATAATTACCTAATGACAATGACGACAGCTGTAGACATTTTTTTTTTATTATATGTAGCAGTAGCCCTGTCGAAGAACAGATTATTTTATTGTTCTATTGTGGTAGATACCAACGCATAAAAATATGTGACTTCTAATCACGAGCTGAACTGAATTTTGTTTATTATTAATTATTATTATTACGTAACATCGTTGGATTCTTTTTTAAAACGGCCAAGAAATGGCTCTTGTTTTGTTTTTCGTGCTGTCCGATAACGCCAAAGCCATAGGCATGAATATCGCATAATAATAATAATAATAATAATAATAATAATAATACTAATACGCAAGTCCCAATGTTACGTCTAGAAGGTAAGTCGTAGGAAACAGGTCATCAATTTGTAATGTAAAATTGTTTGACAACCGATTATATATGTCGGTACACTGTCGCTACGGTTCAATTTCGATCGGCCGGCTTGCGAGTGCATCAAATTAAAAATAATATGCATTATAATGTATTATTAGTAATTGCCACTCCGATGTCTATATTATAATATTATTATATTTGTATTATACGCGTGACAATATTGCAATAATAAACGCGATTGGACGTAGCCGCAGCGGTCGACTCTAATTTTTATTATTATTATTATCATATTTATGCGATTATGCGAACCGCACACACGTTTTGTTACTACGTAGTATGTTGTACTTAGCGCTACCCCTCACCCACCGACCCGACCGACCACTCCACACGCCCCCACCACCGTTCCGCCAGCCCATCCAGTCGAAGTGCCGCGGACATCATCGCTATTATCAATTCCCCCCCCCCCAGCGTCTCCGTCCCGCGGTTCGGCAACAGAGGCCGTCGCAATCGTCGTATCGCCTGTTTTCCTCTCGTCGTCCCGAACCCGACTCGAACACAAAACGTTTGTCGTTTCATTATCGTCCGTCCCGTCGTGTTTTCGTGATCCGTCTACGCAATAACAATAATATCGTACTCTGCGCCGCTGCAGTGACGCGTCTGCCATCCGACCTTTGTGCGACTGTTGTCGTGAGACTCGCTATAAATCGTCATTGTTATTGTACTTGTTACTGTGTGTCCTCTGACGTCGCACGTTGTCCGATCCGCACGATATAACATTCGGTGTATCGTCACCACTATTTTCGTGTTATACGATCTCATAAACGTGATATTGTCGTCGAAAAGAACCCTGACGATGACCGCTGCAGCGGGTGGTGTGCGCCTTTGCGGGCCGCTGGCCTTTTTCGGCCTCGTCGCTCTGCTGTCCTCCGGTAAGTACTGAACTACAAGGTACGACGACTGGGTTGCCAGTAATGTCGTACACCTAACATTATAATATTGTTATCATCGTAATGTACGACGCCGTGCGCGATGTGATCGGCTGTCTCTGGCTGACCTTAACCTTTTTTTTTTTCTCTCTCCGTGCCCAGGTGCTTTGGCCGATGTTGAAACTATCATCGTCCGGGGACATGTCCAAATGCTCGGCTCGCAAGAATGCACTTACGGTCCGGCGTTTTGGTGCAAAAACATTACGTGAGTAAATGTTTCTACGGTTCACATTATTACTGTGCAGGACATGTAGATGTATTGTATTCACTCCCCCGGGTATATCTGGCTACGTTACTGTTTTATTTATTGTTTTTATGTAACAGTTTATTAGATATTATAAAAACACTAACCTCAGTTTAGATTATAAATATCACAGTATCCATTGTGAGTTATCTCTCTTTATTATATTAGTGCACATTAATGTCTGTAAACATGTAGGATAAACATGATGCTTGTTGGATATTTTAAAATATCATTTGATTGCTTGGTATTGCTAATAAACGTTCAAAATATTAATTTTTATAAGATCAAAATTCAATATTTGTATGTATTTATTTTTATACTTATTTCTTGTAGTTAATTTGCTAAGTTTCTTGATAAATAAGAAAGTTATTTATTTGATAGTGTGTATAAATAATTATTGTTTTTGATCTTGGGAGTACAATCAATAAAATACTTTTAATTGCCTGATTAGGTACCTATATAATTTATGGTTGATTCTAAATTAATATACTGTTATAATTATGTGTTTTTTTTTACAATCAATACATTTTTATGTAACAATTATCAGTTATGATATCAAGTACCTTTAGATTAAGTGTCATTAATAATAATAATTTATAGAAGGTATGCGCTGTTGGTAATATATATTTTACCAACATAATATATAACAATACTTAATGGTTATTTAAAAAAAAATTATATACAAATGCATTGTTATCAATTAATTGTGCCAGACAAAAATGTACAGTTCCAACTTAATTTATTTATTATTTCAATTACATAAAAGTATTATTTATATAAAAAAACTGGATAACCCTGAAAAACAGGAAACTATACAATATAGTATATACCTACTGATAAGTCATTTATGACTAAGGCATCCTCGTGTGACTTGTCTTGCTATAATAAATTGTATACAGCTGCTTTAATACATTTTTATATGCCAAGATATTACATGGCATTCATTAAATTTACTTTTAAAGTATTTAAATTTGATAGTTAATTGAAGAACAATGAGCTATATTGTTACAGCATACAATTACACTATTATATTATATTTTATTTCTCAAACAATTTTTGTAATACTTCAGGAACAAAATATTACCACATCTATATTATAATTTAATTATTTAATCTAAATTGCTTATTAAAAAATTAACTTATAGTGTTATATCTACTTAATTCAAATTAATTTGTTTACTGCAGGATAGTTTCTTAATTTCTATCTAACTGTTAATAATAAAAGTGAATATTAAATACTTAATTATTATGAAATATTTATCTGGCATTTATTTTATTTATTGTTTTTTTATGATAGTTTACTCTAGTCTATAGCACTTGCTAATTTCTAACCAACTGATCTAAATTTTATTCTAATTGTTGACATCAAGCCAACCTTAAATTGGTATAAAGGTATATCTACTACTTTATAATTATATTAAAGCAAAATCTCAAAATTATTGGTTTGTATTGTATTAATATTTAATTGAATAGTTAGATATAACTAGATACATTATAATCATTAATTTCATTAACTTTGGAATGGTTTAGAAAAACTGTTTTTAGTGACTGTTTTCTACAGATGATTTTATTGCTATTGTAATGTGCCTGGTGATGTGTTTCTACTATTTGTACATCTGTTTTTATTTTAACGTGTCATCAGATCAAATAATAATTCAATATGAAATCTTAAATTCTGTATTATTTAACAATTATTAGGTATTGAAGGCAAAAATTACAGTCTTTAAATTGTATTCATAAATTTATGAATTATTAATATCTTGCATAGTCTGATAGATTTTTCAATACCTAAGTTATAATATTGATTTTTATATGTATAGCTATTTATTTTATTAATGGTTAGGTATAATATTTTTTTTAACCATTTAATGCAATGAAAAATATTATTATTAAATAAAAAATTATGTTTTAACAACATATGGGTATAGAATTTAATTATGTTTATTCACTTGCCATAAATTAAAATTCATCGATTGCACATTCAATATACTTTTAGACCTAGAAACTGTTTTACTATTTTACACAACAATGTGCCTCTCCCACCCACTCACCCACTCAATATGTTCGCTATCTACATTTACATAATATAGACCATTAAAAAAATTAGACATCCTATACTTATATCAAATATCTTGTTCTGAATAATTAATCATTTAGGGGATGGGCATGTAAGTATAATATTTTCCCACTTTACCAGACACCTTATTTAAACCTTATGTAGCTAGGTATACTGAAAACGATGGTGAAGTCAGAAATTGGTGGTCAAACTTAGTTTCAAAATTATTGATATTTGAAGTTGTAAAGTATACCAAGTAGATTAATAAAATTAATACGCCACTGGCTCCAGTTACTCTACTCCCCTGTTATCAAAACTTTTATTTGATTATTATTTATAACTGGATTCTTCGGTTAATAGGTAATTTACCACACAAATATTTTACAAGCATTTAAAAAAAGCTGATTATAATCTACTAAAAGAAGTAAGTCTATATAATAGGTATATATCACAAACTAAACTAAACCAACAAAAATATTGTTACCTATAATATCATTGGTTATAAAACTTTAAAACTGCAATATGTTTACATATAAAGTATATTACTATACTCTGTTCTAAATAAGAATGCAACACTTTGGTGTTTTCAAATTATAAATGAATAGCAGAGCAATGTTTGGACCTGCCTAGCAGTTTCTTATCATTTTGTGTTTGATCGTCACAGGTTGACTGTAGTCGTACTCTCTAGAACGGACAAAATTTGAAATATATTGTATATTTTTTTTCTCATTATTTTTTGTACAAATCACAAAACATAAAAATTTGTTTTGGTCAATAACAACCTTTTTAAAAAATAAGTTTTTTATTTACAATAGATACTAGTAAATAATAACAAAACCAATAAGTATAAAAAGAAAATGGCTTTGTTCAATAGCAACTAATATTTATACTTTGTTTACAAAAATACATTTAATGTTCTAAAGATAAGTTAAATAGTTGTTGTTGGAATTAAAATATAGAAATAATTTTTGGTGTATGGTTATTGATTAAATACACATAGTAGAGTAGTTAAAATTTGAATAATTCTTTTTAATTGACAACGGAAATTAATTGTTTTTTAGCAATGCTGCTGGTTGTAATGCTGTCCAACATTGCATTCAAACAACTTGGGTTACACAGACATATCCAGAAGATAATGATGATATTTGTACTATTTGTAAAAATATGGTGAAAGAGGCTCGTGACACACTCACCAGTAATGTTACATTGGTTAGTTATTAATGTATTAAAGTTAAATATATCAACAACATTTAAGTTAACATATTCCTGACTTAGAATCGAATAATGAATAAAAGTAATAAAAAATATATTTATATATAATAGTTGTGTTATACTGCTATGCTGTACAGAGAACATATGACTTAATACAAATTCTTGTAGTCACCCAATTTACTATTTGTAAAATAAATAATATTATAGTTATAATAATTGAATGATTTAACTTATAGGAAGAATTGAAAGAAGTCTTCGATGGATCTTGTGATTTATTGCCTTTGAAAATAATTAAAAAAGAGTGTAAGAAATTATCGGATGATTTTATACCCGAACTTGTTGATACTTTGGCTTCACAAATGGACCCCAATGTTGTTTGCACCGTTTCTGGTTTGTGTAATAATGAACGCATTGATAAGTTTTTATTGGAAAATAAAAAAAAAGTAATCATAATATTTTAATAAATTTTTTTTATTTGTATTAATTAAACTTTTTTATAGGAGCAATCAGCAGTCGGTAGTGAACACCATCCATGTGAAAAATGTGTTATTGCTATGAACAAAGGGGAAGATTTAGTACAGAGTATGTCTAGAGATGATGTTTTAAATAGATTCTTGATGGTCAGTTTAGTAATGAATATGTGTTTAACAATATATTGATGTTATTTAACAAATAAAATAGGTTTATATTTATATTTAATTTCTTTATTAGATGTGTGGAGAACTGAGCAGCTATTCTGATGCATGCAGTAGTATTGTATTAACATATCACAATGAAATATACAATGCCGTTAAAAATGGTTTTAATAAACGTAATGTGTGTATGTTGAGTGGTATGTGTTCAGAAGCATTCCATCCTCATGCTGATGGTTATGAGGTAAGCATGGAGTTAACAATTAAAGAAATATTTTGCTATTTGTAAATTTATTTACAGAAATCAATTAACGCTTTGATGGGTGTTGAAATAAGTAATGCTGGTGAGCGAGGTAGGATTCAAATCCAAAAATCTAATGAAGTCAGTGATGAATTGACATGTGAATTTTGTGAAACCTTGGTCAAACATTTGAGAGATATTTTGGTTGCTAATACAACTGAAGAACAATTTTCCGACGTACTAAAAGGTCTTTGCAAACAAACTAAAAGTTTCTCAACTGAGGTATTTTTCAAATATATATTAATGTTATAATGTAATTTGTGTATTTATTATTATGTCTTGTTTCAGTGTTTGGCAATAGTTGATGAAAATTATACACGTATCTATAAGTTCCTTGTAAACGAATTGAATGGAAAAGTTCTTTGTACAATAGTTGGTATTTGTCCCAAATCTCTTAATTCTCGTTATGATCTCAACTATATTATAGTAAGTTAATAACTATTTATAACAGTAAAAATCATACTTCTTACTTGTAATTTTATTTTATTCAATGTATCCCTTAATTTAGCCATTGTACCCGCTTGTTCCAATTGAACTTTTACAAACCCAGGAAGCCTCTAAAATTGAAGAAGATAGTTCATTTACTGCTAAAAAAGAACAAAATCAAAATGAACATAAGCCTACCCTTGTTGTGGTTGATGAACAACCTCCTAAAGTTCAAAATATTAATGTCATTAAGAAATCTCCAGTTATTGATGTATTCTATAAGGAAATGCATTTTGTTGGTAAGATGAATTGTTTACATAGTATATCTTATAATATATAAATAAAACATTATTACAGTAATTAGTTATTTATAATATTATATTTTTGTTTAGTCAACGATGTCAGTATGCCCACGGATAAAACTACATGTTTCTTGTGCCAATCAATTTTAAATTATGTGCAACAAGTAGTAACTGATCCAAAGTCTGAAGCAGAAATCCGTACAGCATTGGAGAAATCCTGCTTGGTCGTGCCATCATCATTTGAACAACAATGTAAACAGTTTGTCGACCAATATGGTGATGCTTTTATTTCACTTGTAGCTCAAGAAGTTGATCCCTCAATTGTGAGTGCTCAATTATGGTTTTCCTTGCCCTAAGTATAATAAATAACTAATTATTTTTTTATTTGCTTAGATCTGTCCAGAATTGAAATTATGCCCAGTTACAGACTTGTCATTAACTTCCAACAAAGATAGTGAAAGTTCTAATAATTGTCCAATGTGTGTTATTTTTATGTCAGCTTTAGAATCTGAAATCTCTAATAAAGACACAGAAGTAAGTGGACACATTTTCACATAGTTAATGAGTGATAATTAATTGTTTAGTATTTGTCAAATGAATAAAGTATTCTTAATGCACAATCACATCCTAAGTAAAAAATTATAGTTCTGAAAATGGTATGTGTTTGTAACTGCCATCGTACTGTAAAAATGTATTAATCTGCCACCGGGTGACTATCCATTTTAGTATGTATACTTTTTATATACTGATACAAAACTCGCAAATAAAAATAAATAATAATAATATGTAATTAAGACATTTTCCTAAAGAACCTTTCAATGGCTTAATGTGTTACACATTTGATTTTTATGCTATTAGTGTACAAATTTCAATATTAAATATTTTAAAGACAGGCCGACATCGTACTAATAACATTATAATATATTAAACACATTTCAAATATTTTAAGGACTAAATATCCTTTTCAATAAATAGATCACATTGATGACTGAATTACAAACACTTGAGATGTTGAGATAGAGGGTAATATCAACATCTTAAATTAAATACTGGTAGTTTAGTAATACATTTTGTACAGATCAATATGCAGGGAAATGACAATTAATTACCACTGTGCCTAGGCGCTCAGCCATGGTTGGTAAGATAATGTCAGCCCAACCAGTGTCAACTATTTACATACACGTTTTAACAAAATACAGTTATATATATATATTATTTTGGCATATAATCTTGAATCAGTATATGGTCCAAGCATAATAATTAATAATATAGTATTTTATATACTTAATTTCATATCAACTTGAAACTAAAGTTAAAAATTTAAAAAAAAGGTAGACATGTGTTTACTGCTCTGCTGTACAGTAGTTGTCAAGCATTAAAGCATGTCCAGAGCCATGGCAAATGGGGCAGATGCCCTAGGGAAGGTTGTACAATTTTTTAGGACTGTAAATGTTTAAATAATTATGTTTAATAAGAGCGCCTTTGAAAGTTATCATGGCACTGGACATGTCATTGTATGAATGTGTTATATTTTGAATTCAATGATAAATCATTGCATACGAAAAACAATTCTGAGCTGTGACTTAGTTGTATCCTAATAAACTTTTATAAACATGAAGTCAAATTTAATTATAAAAAAAAAAAACAATAATTGCAAATATCTCATGGCAAAATTTAGCGTAACTTATGTGGAATCTTTTATTTACATTTTTATAGTTAGCTATGAAAAAAAAAACTTTTATACATTTCTAACTGAAATAGCATGTTGTGTGGCAAGGGCAGAAAGAGTGACCTATTTCAGTCCTGGGCAACGTGTGCAGCACAAGTGAGGAAAAATACACATTGTACATACAATACATTTATTTACTACACTTAAAATCTAAAAAAAAAATCCTATTATATAAAAATGATGTGTATGTACCTCAGTTTTTGATATTTATAAATGATTTACAAAAAATACAAAAAATTGGGATTCTCTGCGATAGATTCTCTATCTCCTAGTTTTTTTGGACGAGAAAATCAATTTTTGCCTTCATAAATTTGAAAATTTAGTTTTGTATTAAAATTATATTAGATAAGTAACAAACCTATACTTTTTTTTACTTATATGATAATAATTGAAATAGATTGAAGAAAAATTGTTACCTGTTTTAACGTTAGTTTATCATATTTTCTACAATTGTAGTATCAAGTAAAACAAATTTTATAGTTTTTAAATGAGAATACGAAAGATCAATGAACGAGCTTATTCGCTAACCCATTACTTACTTTAATATATCAAAGTGTTAAAAATATTCCACAGTGGGTAGATGGTCATTTAAATATGGTTATATTTTAGTATATTTAATCTGTTGTAATAATGACAAGTGTATACAATTGTTTTACCTAAGTAATATCATTTACTATGGTGAAAATACCAAGAAGATTGACACACAGAATACTGTGACAGTGTAAAAGTACCTTCATTAAAACATAAAATTTTTTACAATGACAATGATTTGTTGTGATATAATATAATATGTTAAATAATTTATTGCAAATGGCTGTATAAATGTTGATAAAAATAGTTTTCTTCAGTCAAAAAGCTTAAAATGTTTTACAGGGTCACCCTATGTGTAAAGTAAAAAAAAAATTGTTATTGTTAATTATTTAGTTACAAGTTGATATTACAAAAACAAATACATCATAAATCTTATGCCACAATAATATATAATTTAATAATTGTATTCTGTTTATTTGTGTATATAAGATGTTGATACTGGATGGCTGTTCCATATCTTACTGACCATGATCAGTCATCAGACACAGCAAATAAGTATACTTAAAATAAATAATTAATTCTAATTGTGATATTTAGGAAGTGATAAAAAAAAAATTGGAAAAGTTATGTACCAAACTACCATCAAAATGGAAAGGAGAATGCACAGTTTTTGTTTCAACTCAGTTACAAAGTATACTTGACATGTTAGTTGCTCAAGTTAAGCCTGAAGAAATTTGTGTTTTATTGGACATTTGCAAGCCAAAGACCATATCTGAAAGTGCTGAAAATGATTTAGGTGAGCACCGTATGAAATGTTTATTTATTATTTTAATAAATTAGTAGGTAAAATTGAATTTTTGGATTTTTATTTTTTTTTTAGAAGCTAATATGATTGCTACAGCTGGACAAGTTACTATAGTATTTCCAGGATACAATATGGGACAATTATTGGCTAATAATTACAAAATGTTGGAAGAGCCAAAAGTTCCAACTCCATTTTGTTTAGTATGCACTGTTGTAATGAAATATTTGCACGGTGTCATCAAAGACAAATCGAATCAAGTAAGAATTGTTGTAAAGTTTATTTTTGTACAGAAGTTGTTTTTTAACAAATTAATTTTCCTTTTTTTTTAGGAAGAAATAGAACATGCTTTAGAATCAGTATGTAGCATATTACCCAATGTTGAAGAAAATGAATGTCAATCATTTATTGACTCAAACTATAATAAAATCATCAACTTTATTCAAATTGGAACTGATCCGGGTATTGCGTGTATGGCATTAATGGTTTGCGATGATGGCAAAAGTAAATCAACAATTAATAATGTTATATGCATAAATAATATTGCTATTTTTATGGAAAAATATATATATATTATTTATATATGTGTTTTATATAGCTATAGGTAAACAAACTATTGACCTGCCAAAAGAAAAAGTACGTTTAACTACAACAGAACCTGCTGAATTGGATAGTTCTGATGGTTGTGCTGCCTGTGAAGCATTTATCACTGTATTTGAAGATCGTTTAACTAATGATTCAGTAAACGTTGATGATTTAGATTTGATTGAGCTGTGCGATGAAGTTGAAGTTGCACATAAGGATCAGGTAAATAAAATTATATTGGTGTTCCTAAATTTCAGTAAACAAATTGTGTACAATTATTATCAAACGTATAGTCAGTTAGATGACATTCAGACCCAAGAAATTATATTTATTAATTTTTTTAAACCCCCCATCATATTAAAATTGTTATTACTGACAATCTCTTATAATATCCCTACCTCAACAAATTAAGATAATAAGTATTATTTTTACACTGCGAGGTTTAGTGTATGTGTTTGTGCGTGAACGTTTTAAACTCACTTTAGCGAGTTCTAACATTATAAATTCACATAAATAAATATTATGCAGTGTATGGAGATGATAGAGTCATACGCTCAATCTTTCAAAAATCTCTTGAACCGCTTGCCTACATGGATGATGTGTGAAAAAGTGGCAATGTGCAGTAAAAATAAAAGTTTTGCGGTCAACCAATTTAGTAACTCCAGATGTTTAGAAGGCTCTGAGTTTTGGTGCAAATCATGGGATAACGCCAAAGAGTGCAAGGTAATTATCAAATTCAATTGTTTCTATCAATATTAATTATTACAATGTGCTCTTTTTCGTAAAGCTAGTGACTTAACAAATTGTAGTTTTATTGATTTAAACTTGTTGTTTTGGTTTCCAAACAAATTTAATTTACTAAATAACAACTGTGTTGTTTATTTTAACAGCTTTTGATTTATTGTTTTTTTTTTTTTATGAAAACATAGTGTTGATTTGAAAAAAAATAATAAAAGCATTTGAACTATTCTTTAAAATCTCACGTATATAATTGTTATGACATTTTAAATTTTACAAGAATCAATGAATTCATTCTCTGATAAATGTATTCGTTTTTATTTTCAGGCTGAATCGTTATGCAAACGCTCTTTATGGAACGTAAAAATCATCGAAGATTAAAGTGATATTCAATTAGATTAAAATTAACACTCATGTTATGTGAATGCAAAATCAATATTATAATTAATGATAATTTATAATATTGATAGTCTAGACTTAACAATTATTATTACCTATAAATATTCCTTTTTATGTTGATAGATGGTTTTTAAATATATTATGTGTTAAGATAAAACAATAATAAAAATTGATGTTTCAAATTTTCTCTTTTAGTTATACTATAATATACATATTTGTACTATCTTTTGTTTTTTTTCTTTTGAAAACATTTTGGATTAACTAATTTATAATGAAAAATATATATTTTTATACTTACTATAAATATATCAAAGGGGAAAACAATGTTTCTATAAGAAATATAAACTTAAAATAAATTCACAAGATGTTTAAGTAATCAAAACTTAAAATATTAGTGAAATTAATCCTATCTCTTATATGTATTTTTTTTTATACAAAATTGGTGTTTATATATATATTTATAGTAGAAAAACAACTTTTTATTAAGACAATTCATTGTAATCCAACAGAATAGTTTGATTTCGGCATGTCAGAATAGTATGAAAATGTTTGTAACAATAGGCCGTGAAATCATAGAAAAAGTTAAATTGTCAAAATGTATTGTACAGTTTTTATAAGGAATCTTAACGACAATTTCTTGTTGTTTTGTTTAGCAACTAAATATAAATTGACTGAGATGTTTAATAATCTTTAAACTTGGTAGATGTACATCAAGCAGGAAAATGTGCTTCGAAATATCTAGCCTTAATCATAACAATACAATTATGTTGGTGAACTTAATCTAATGTTAAATTTTTCAAAGTTGCCATTGTCTAAACTGTTTAATATGCAATACTTCACAACTGAATTACAGTTGTAGAAAATATGTATTATGATAAATGTGATGAAAAGTAAATATAACTATAAATATCTAATAAACTTTATTGACAAAATCAATGTTTTGTAGTTGTTTTTTTTATAAACAAACAATAATACTCCACTAATTACAATATATTCCTTGGGTCATCAGTCATCGTGCAAATACATAAGCTGCCGTGTATTACTTTGTAGATGGTCTCATATTTGAAATTTCTGTTTAAAGGTCAACGACTTCCTGAATCTCATTAAGTACAGTTGTAAGACCAAATTTGCTGACAATAACAATGATTGGCTTATTAGGACTTTAATTGAAAGCTTGCGAACCACATGCACCAAACAGTGTCGTAAGGATTTTTGAAATGATTCACTGTTAAATTTTATAGAATTTTAAAAAGTTTTTATTTTCAGTGGATAAAAAGTATGGAAAATTTCATCCCAAGTGCACTATTTGCAAAGACGTGATCCACGACATCAAACATAAAATCGAAACTTCTCCGCTGGAAGTATGAACTAACACTATACTAAAAGATAATTTTTATTAATTTAAAATATGTCTGCAGAAAGATATTCAGTACCGATTAGAATCATTATGTGATGCTCTACCAAACAAGGACCAGTGTGTAAACTTGGTGGATAAGTACACCGAAAAACTTCTGAACACTTTTATAGATGACATTAAAGAGCAAAGTGTATGTGCTGAAATTGGTTATTGCTAATAATATCAAGATATCGGAAATCAAATTATAACAAACTCTACTGATACTTAACATTAAGGACTGATATTTACTCAATTTAGTCGTCTATTTTATACTTTTGTTTTATTATAAAAATTATCTATGTAAATATAGTAACTATGGTAATAAATAAATACATACATGGATTAATTATAAAAAGAAATGCATATATATTTTTATCATTTAGGTGAATAATACAACAAATTATTGTACATTCTAAATTTTACGTAATCGAAGAAATTTTCGATTAAAAACATAATCAAAAACAATTTTCGATTGATATAACTTGAGTGAAAAAAATTATTATTACAAAAAAAAGTCGAAAAGTTTACTTTGTCTTAATATAATTAGTCTTTGCCATAAGAAGTATTATACCTCCAACACTTGCACAAAAGTAGCAAATGGAATCATTTGTAATATACGAGGTATAAAAACTAATTATTGAATTAAGGCAAAAGAACAAATGGTAAATGAATAAAATCAAATTACATAGATTACAAATTACAAATAAATGTTTTACATTTAATTAAAGTCTTGTATGGCAGGTGGAATTTTACTGTGGTTTTTGAGATCCCTTTTTGCCGATGAGGGATTTGTGGATATGAGGGATAACACCTGCAAAAAAAAAGAAAAACATAATATATAGGGTACAATTTATAACAACGCCACAATTTATATTACCTCCTCCTGCAATTGTAGCTCTGATGAGGGTGTCTAATTCTTCGTCTCCTCTGATGGCAAGTTGCAAATGACGTGGTGTAATACGTTTCACTTTTAAATCTTTAGAAGCATTGCCAGCCAATTCGAGTACCTTTGAATAAAAAATATTTTAATCCAATACTATAGATAAAATTGCTCAAACAATATTTACTTCAGCAGTCAAATATTCTAATATGGCAGCACTGTACACAGCAGCTGTAGCTCCAACACGACCATGACTTGTAGTACGGTTTTTTAAATGACGGTGAATTCTACCCACTGGAAACTAAATAAATTATGTAAATAATTGATAGATAGAATATTGAAGGGACAACATGTTTATTAATGAGCTACACTACTTAATTTATGTACATAATGATGTGTATAAAAATGACATGTCTGTGGACGTATTTATTTGTTTTATGGTGAATTAAATTAGATTTTCATAAGAATTTTGTTTCTTTTATCTTAGGTTAAATATGCACATCATGTTTTAATGTTTCCAGAAAACATACAGATTCATCAAGTTCTTTTTCTGACTGAATTTACAATTAACTATTGATATACCCAAAGTAACTTTTCTATCTTTAAACTATTGTAACTTAAAAAATAAAGGTCACCACACACTGCAGCGATAGCAGTAAAATGAGTCTGGACTCAATTTACTGCCACCTCAGCGGCATGATCAAGACAAAAGAATTTTACCGCTACCGCTGCAGTATAAGGGATCTTTAACTAGGTATATCACATTTTGTGTATAAGTATTAGTTCAATAATTATAAAAGTAATTCAAAAAATTATCAAATGAAGTGATTAATGATATATTTATAGAATTAATTCAATAAAGAGAATTGACACAGTTCAACTTAATTTTAAAGATTTATTTATAATGTATGTCTCAATAAGTATGGATAAACAATTCCATTTAAAATTAATACTTCAAGTATTATTTGATATTTCATTTATTGCCGGGTGCGCTCTCTTTTGAAGATTTGAAGAACCAATTGAATAATAAAAAATTTTAGAAACAAAATTAATGAAGAAAGATATTTGAACATGATTTAAATTCTTTGAACAGTAACCTACAAAAATAATAAAAAGTAGATAAAAAAGTACTTTTTCGTGCATAGTATTTTATAACATAAGAAAAGGGGTATCTTAAACTATCAAATTAAAAGTCTTTTTTTATTAACTAAAGAATAATATATTTGGTTTTGAATGTTGTAAAAATAAACAAATAACTAAATAATGGGGAAAAATATAAATAAACGAAGCCGGTAATCTACCTACAGAGGTTAAGCGATTATGCAAATCGATATCCTCAAGGTGGTTGGAAAAATCAATTGCAACATACTACATTAGATCAAATTGAAAACAATGCCTAGTTTCAACATGCCAAGAATCGAATCATCTTGTAAGAAAGTAAACCCAATAATGGGAAGAATAATGTGCCGAAAAACGAAAAGAGCTAGTACAGAAGTGGCGAGCAAACATTGACACAAGAGTTTGGTTAAATGTAAAACAAACACACACACACACATACCAGTCGACCGGTGAGAGTAAAAAATATTTCAGCCGACGGCGGCGGCGGTGCCGTTGTCGTTAAAAACGCGCGCAAAACGATCCAGTGGATTCATTTGTGTTCGTTTTGAGCGGGCCAAACGATAGGAGGGGTAACTGTTGATGAGGGGGAGGGGGAATCGAGTCGTTACCGGCGCCAAACCGAGGCGTCATCCAACGACATTATTGCGACCGGTACTTAAGTACGCACGGCCGTTTTTCTCGTCGATGTTTCTTAAGAGTTATGACGAATTAATAATAATAGCAACGGCATTGACACGCCGTCGCGGCTTACCTGTAAGCCTGCCCTGGCGGACCTGGACACTGCTTTCGCCTTCGATTTACCGGAGTCTTTACCCGCTTTACCACCAGCCTAGAGTGAAAACAAAACAGATGAAAATAAAATGTTCAAACATCATGAGCGCGGTTCGAGACGCGACCGAACGGCGGCGGCATGCGTGCGTTTTTTTGCGCGGTAAAAAACCGTCGCCATCGGGCGGCGCAGTCGGTCGGCGATCAGTGAAAAATGAAAAATCACGCAAACGTCGGCGGCGGGCATGAGTACGTACCATTTTCGCTAAGGCGGTGGTGCTCTGTTGTTACAACGGGACGGCGGTTAACGGAACTGGAACGTTGTCGCTGTGCGGCACTAACGACACAGCCGGTGCGATTCGTCGACGGCGGTGCGAGTGTGTGACTGCTGTGTCTCGCTATGTTTTCGGCGAGCCGGGTGAGCGGATGGCGGGCGAAAAAAACCGTTGAGAAAAAAAAAACAAGAAAAAATAAAACCGAACGTCACGCCAATCGGTCGGTGGACATGCAGTGAGCGGCGGTAGCAAACAGTCGTCGGATACGCAAACACAGTGTACACAAGCGCTCACCCGCACTCGCAAGCACAAGCCTCCCGGGCATGCGCAATGGCCCGTGCAGCGACCGTTACGCGCTCCAACCTCCGTGGCCGCCATGTTTGGTGTGCACGTGACCGGCCGACGGCCAATCGCCGTTGCCGGTGCACCGACGGCGGGCGAACCGTCCGAGGGACGACGCCGTCGCGGAAATCGATGCCGTTAACAAAAGAAATCGGCACTGGCCAGCGTTGGCGGGACGTTGTAGGCTCGCGCCGCAAATGCCGCCATTTTTCCTTCCCCTCCCCGTCGTCGTTCGTTGAAAGCACGATTCGTGACTTGGGCGCACTTCTCTATGCCCACGCGATCGCAATGCGTACCGAAAAAAACCTCAAACGTTACTGACGGTCAGCAATCCACGCCCGTAGAACTTCGAGCAACGAGGGCTCGCTTTAAACGTATCGCAAGATTTGAAGATGCCGGGTTATCTCCCGCTCAAAAACGTCGTTATCGCCGGCAGCCGTAAACCAAAGAGGTTACAAGTTGTAACTTACAACCATGAGCGATAGCACAGACTTGTCACTAGCTTGCTGTTGTTACTATATGGAAATCTGTGGACGATAGACTTAGAAACAAAGAAAATTATGAATCTGTGGTCACATATTACAACCGTCTTTTCATTCGTCGACATGGCTTTAAGATAGTGCTCGAAGGTCCGCAGGACGTGGCGAACGGGTTTAGCGCCGGCAAATTATTATATCCCATAATATTACAACAATTGTTGTACGAGCCCGGATTAATTGGCACCCATTCAACTTTAACCACAGATAATATTAATAAATAATCTGCGCGCTAACTTCAAAAAATTGTATCACTATATACATTTTTAAGGCTCTATATAACATTGTATGCATTTGTACCATGAAAAATAATGTGTAGAAACGGATCAATGTGAGCGATAATTGAGAATATTGAATTTTCTTAAAATTTGGTAGAATTTTCAATTTGAAATTAGCGAAATTTTTAATTGTGCTTTGCTGAATTTTTCGTATAATTTCGAATGATATTAACTGATTTTTAAAATCAGCGCTGGTAGCACTGGTGACCCGACACGATATCTCTAAGACTCGTTCGTGGTTTGTTGGACAAAATTATAGATAAGTTTGTCCGTTTACCTTTTAGTATTTTGAATTTTCCCATAGTTACCACAATAAAAAATTTTATTTATTGGTTATAGAATTAGCTACTTGTGATCAACGTGTCATACATTTTTGATCCTTAGGTATAAAAGTTATACATTTTATAAATTTTTAACTACAAAATAATTTGACGAATTTTGTCAAAATTTGAACTTTTAATACTTATAAAAGAAAATCGTTGAATCATTAAAATCTCTCAGCTTCTATTATGATACTTATAAGGAACCTTGTATCAAAGACTCAAAGTTTTTTACCCGACGAATAAAGTTGAATTGATATTTATAAAATAAAAAACTAAAAAAATAGAAAATTAAAGTGTCCATAAATAACTCAAAACAAGTGAAAATGTTTTGAAATCATGTAAAGTAAATGATAAAATCCACATTTTATTGAGAATTTCATTTACTTGCAGAATTTTGAACGAAAATATAATAAGAAATTCGTTGTACATAAGAGAATTTATTAATTTATCCCCATATACCCAATGTCAAATTTGAAACTCAAAAAATTAATTTGACTTTCCGGTAAATATTTAATTTCTGTTAAATGTAGAAAAACTTAAGAGGAAGCATTACGTTTTCAAACCTTGTATATCGTATATGTATATGAATTTCTCACACAACATAATAAACAAATTTATGTGATCCTTATGAGTTTTGTCCAAAGTCAAAACCCTAACTTCAGACGTAGAGTAGGGCATTATTCGAATACTTTTTTCACAAATATTTGAATAATTTTCAAAACTAATATTGAG